TCCCCCTTCTGTTAAAGTAGTTGCTAGGACCTCTGTCTGTTACCTCTAGTTGGGAAATAGTTTATTCAATTTCTAGGACAAAAAACACCATTTCCTCATTGAAGGTCCAAAACCCCATGGAATAAAGTCATGCCTAGATCAAATGTTGGGCTCTACTATTTGAATAACCATAGGGCAATGAACAAGGTAATCTTTCTGAAGCTCCTTGAAACACAGAAATTACTTCCATAGTCTGTCAATTAAATGCTTGCCTAGCAGGCTGCATACATACACAAAGCCTGTAAAACACTATTCCCTGAGCATGAAGCAACTGACAATATGGGTTCCCATTTAACAATATAGTTTATCCTGTAAGAGGCACTGCTATATGAAGGTGTGAGCAACATGGATTAAGCCTGCAAAATCTTGCCATTATAGATGCCCTCACTAAGGAAATCTTCAATATTAAAGCCTTGGGCCTAGAGTCTAGGAAAGAAAACATCAACTCGACACACAAAATCTTGGAGTCATATTTGTTCATGTACATTTGAGTTAGTAACCACTAGCAGTATTTGTCTGGAAACTTCTCAATATTCTATAGCAATGAACTAACCAATACAGTAGTCTCATGTCATGTCTGTAAGTAAAAATTTAAGTCCAACTCTTCAGTCACACTAGCCACATCTCAAGGCTCAGTAACATGTCACTAGTCGCTATTATATATTGCTCAATACATCATAAAACGTTTCCATCATCATGACATTTTACTGACAGTACTATGGCTTTAACAGCTTACTTTAACAGCCTTTGTTAAAGAACAAGGGAATTTTTTCCCCTTCCTCTGTACCCACCAGATGACTCCCTTGGTGTCTTCTTTACTCTGGGGCCTAGACTTGTAAGGTATACCTTGACCCTTTCAGCTGCCTTCAGTTCTTTGATGAAAACATACCAGTCACACTTTCTCTTACTGCCCTTAATTCTCACATATACATGGTCATCTTTTTACTAAATTTATTAGCCAGCCACCTTTTCTTGAAAGCCCTATGTCCTTTCCTAATCCTCACCCTTCTTTATCAAACAGGGTTGCTTCTCCCTCTTTGGTGCACTGGTTCACAGTTTGGGCCAAAAATTGGAATTATGGCAACTTGAAAAATGTATCAATGTCTGTAGTATCTTTCCAATCTGGCTGTGTGAAAAAAAGTTAAAAATTAAAGTATCAATAAGTCCCAATCCTAGAGATTTAATAGGTCTGGACTGCACCACCTTGAAATCCAGATTTAAAAGTCCATCCCCCACTCATAGGAAACTTTCACACACCAAGTTGAAACTTACTAAATCCAAAAATTTGGTAATAAACTATAATAATCCATAAGCCCCAATTTTTCTAGATTTGTTAAAGGACTGTATGAGTTATTTTTCCAAATACAAACTTGTCGGCACTTCAGGGACACGTTTCTCAAAACTTTTGTGTGCCACTTGAAAAAAACAATCCAACATGCTTTCCTCTTCCAACTCCTTCTTACTAGTCCCTTTGTCAATTGGATTCATCCCATTACACTATTCTCGTCTTCGTCTGTTTTGTAGTTCTAGTTCACAAAAGGCATTAGCTCCAATACTCTTAAAAATCCATGCTTTCCAAAATTGAGATTTCTTTTAACTTGAAAGTTACTAATGCAAACACAAATTCTGCAGTTTTCTACTTTAACTGTGTCTAACATTTGGAAAGCTTTTGTCTGGTCGGGTATGTATATGCTCACCTTTTACTCTGCAGTTTACATTTTTACTTTATACCAAGTTCCCTCCAAACACTAAAATTCTCCAAGAGTGCTCCTTATTAGTGTGAAAGGTTCCTAAAAGATACTCAGACCATAGTACAGCCATTATATGTAACTCATTTACCAGTCATTTCTATGTCATGTTTACTACTGTCTACTGGTTTTCTGGTCAAGTTACTTTTTCTTGGATGCTTCTGAATTCCAATGAAATGCATTTTCTTGGTCAATGTGATCTGAACAAGGGTTCAGAAACGGAAACTCCATTTGACATCAGTGTAGCTGAATTCTCATAATAAATAAAAAGGTCAACTGTCAGTAGGAATGAATGTTTTCTGGTTCTCCCCAGTCAACACTTTGTCAGGCCAGGCATATGTTCCTGAACTTTCAAATGATCTCATTAAACATACACAATTTCTTTCTTCTGCTACCACTTCCACAAAGCTCTTGTTTTATCAAGGTTACCTCAAAACACTAGGACTTGTATATAGTTTATCAACTGTTCTACTTCTGTACTTTATTATACACCGGGCTTTGCTCCCCCTAACTCCCCTGAATAAAACATACTGCCAAGTTCTAGTAGATTCATGTGTTGACACTTCACGGTTTTCTTATGGCTTAGGTTGCGTCAACTGTACTATTACATTCTTCCCAATCCTACTTTGACACCAGTTCATTTTCTTCCAATTTACGACCTTTTTATCCAATTTATTTTCCATTACATCTAGTTCCCTCTGAAAAAGAGGCTTTAAGCCACACAACTAAGTAGTAATAACATCTGAAGTGAAATCTAAGAGGAGCCCTCTTTTCGAGAATCCCAAATTTACCCTCCATTCCCACCTTACAGCTTTCCATTAGCTCATCCCACTGAGCAGCAAATTAGTAACTACCCAATGCAGAATGCTCCAAACTTTCCCAATCATACATTATGCAGCATCAGAAGGAAATGTTACTAAGTATTTTTTGTTCATCCACTTCCTCGCCTGCTTTCTAACCCTGAACGAAAATTGCATTCCTATATGATGACAGGACAGTTTAGATTTCATAGCATGAGAAACGTGTTCTGAATTTTACTTCCACTAAATCGTGTAGGGTCCTTTAATCAGACTGTCAATCTGAAACCCCTCAATTATTAAATCAGAGCTCCCTCAATTACTACCTGACTCTAAAATCATTACCTATCCCCTTTACCTACACTGTCATACCTACTATTCTGACTCTCTAATTTCTACTGAGCCAACTCCTTTTCTTACTTTGCAGGGCCCAGGGTTAAGTAATGTCAGTGACTATAAGCATATCATCTGATAAACAGCCTTTAAAAACACTAGCCCCTTTCCCAAAAAGCCTGTACTCCTCTGCATTGGATCAGATTCTAAAAAGTATCTTACCAGATGGTTTATCGACCCTGGTCTCTATTTTGCTACGGTTTTGTCTAGGGACCTAAATGTCAAATTGTTAAATAAGGATACCTGGGATTATAGAAAACCTAGAGTACTGTTGTCTTAAACACACAGTAGCCTTAAAACAAGACTGTGAAATGACTTTCCTATCAAGACAAACTAGAAATGCTGGTATTCCAACAATAACCCTACCATATGTGTGTGTAGATGTGTGGTCGTGCTCTCCAGCTATTTGCAAAAGCTATTGCGGCTAAAAGTAATGGCAAAAGCTACAATTACCTTTGTTTGTGTCAACCTAATATTTAAAACTGCTTTCCACAGCTTCTTTCAATACCTGCTTTACTACAAAATTAAATGTACAATTGGCCCTCCATGTTCATAGGTTCTGCATATGCAGATTCAACCAACTATAGATCGAAAACGCTAAGAAAAACTAAAAGTTAATAAAAAATACAAATTAAAAAATACAGCTGCAACTATTTACATAGTAATTACATTTTATCAGCTATATCATGTAGAGATGATTTAATACAGGAGAATATGTGTAGGTTACATATAAATATGCCATTATGCCATTTTATGTAACGGACTAGAGCATCTGCAGATTGTGGTATTCACAGCTAACAGGCTGTTCTGTGTGGGTCCTACAGTGAAGAGAGAAGCAGACACTTGATTCTGGACTAATTTGTCTAGTATTTTCCAAAAACTTGCAGCTAACAACATAATATTAAACAGGTTTTATTAGCATCTTACACTCTCCTAAGAATCCAGTTTATTTTCTAGTCATGGGTTACTTACTAAAAGTTTGCATAACATGAGCTGACATCAGATCAGAAAACATCAAATGGGTAGTATTTCTAACCAAATTAACATACAAAAGGAATTGCCTTTATATCATGTATCTGGGCTCCAAGGGTAGTCCAGCCTCTTCCTTATATTCTGCTTTGTCACCTGTTATATAAAATAATCTGTAAAATCCTTACAAATAAGACGTAAGTTTTGCCTGTAATGCATAGGATGAAAAAAAGGCTAGTGCTGCATGCTATGAAACAATACCAACTTTATAGGGGAATCCAAGGTTTGTGTGCACAAAAATTGTAAATGCCATTTTCTGCTGTGCTGGAAAAGCTGAAAAAGAAAAATGAACTAGACCTTTGAAGGATGAGATATCAACAATGGTAGCTGTTTAATATATTCGTCTTAAGACTGGATGCTAAAAATGCAATCACTGCAATTAAAGTTGAAACAAAAAGATGAGCTAATATGGGTAAAAGATCATTTAGCATAAAATAGATGTGTAACATTCTCTATGTTCTCAGTCACTTGGGAAGGCAGACTATGGAATATCAGGAAATTGTTTTTGTTTTTTTTTTTTTTTTTTTTTTTTCCAGTAACATGGAGGTTTCAGAATTCAGAAGGTAGCTGGAGCTATAAATAATTAAAAGGACAAAGTAGAAGAAAGCAGGGGTTCCATTGTCCAGCTGTTGGAATTTTCCTGAAATCTTAATGTTTTTGAGTCTCTCCTATTTAAGGACAAAACAATTTAGCACACAACAAAAACCTCAAAAAGGGTACCAGCTGGACTAGAAAGCACTAATGAAAAACCAGAGAGTATATACTTCCCAAACTTTCATTAGGATGTAAAAGCCATTCTGAAAACAATCTCCACTCGATGTCAAGTTGACTGCTCAATGCAACATGCATCTCAATGAAATATAATTTGAGTAGTGTAATGTTGGTATGCATAATGATTATGACTCCAAGAAAAATACAGTGCATTCTAGGAGTTTTGTGGAGGACGCTGTAAAACAAAGAGTTTAAAGTAAACAATAATAAAATACAAAAATAAAAACCAGGGTGATTTTTCTCCAAATTCCTGGTTTAATAAGGACTTGTTTATTTTGAAGAAAAAGGGTCCCAAACATCAGGCTGTTCACAAAAATAACCCACAGTATCAACTTTAGAAAACAAATCTTAAGACTATAACACTATTTTTCTAGAGGATGCATTTGACATGCCAACTCTCATTCACAAAAATACATCGTTACATTTGTGTTGAACTGCCCCACACAGCACACTAATGTTGGGGTGTAACACACATACTTCTAACTCAAAGCTGCTTTCAGGAGCTACTCAACTAAATGAGATTGCCTTTGCAGTTAGGGAAGCAACTACTGAACATATGTATGAATGAAAAGAACTGTACTCCCTTCATAACGAGAGATTATTTTGGAGACAGTTGATAAAAACCATACATCCTTTTTATTGTTAAGTCATAAAGAGGTATCAAAATTAAAAGCAAAAATTACAGGGTAAGACTTAACAAAAACTACTAGGAGCGTCAAAGGAAGTGAAAATGGGACTAGGCGCAGGGAAATATGAATTAATGAACATGGGAAGGACAAGGATGGGGAGAACAGTGAGCATGTGCTGAAGATACTAGGGGAGAGGATCTGGTGAAAAATTTGATCTTAGACAAGCGCCTAGGTAAAGAAATAATGGGATAAGATTTCTAAACCCCACTATGTGCTTAAGAGTCATCCTCGCCATTGGCGCTGTCTCTGTCATCCTCTCCTTCCTCAGCCTCTTTTTCATCATCCTTGATCAACTCCAGCTGTGAGAAACAGACACAAATAGGATGGAGTTAGAGGCACTCCATGTGTCCCTGAGCCCCCCTCCACCACCTTTTTCTTTCCTTTCCCGTGGTTTTCACCTGGTCATCCCCCCGATCTTCATTATCATCATCATCCAGTAGGTCCCCCTCCTCAGCAGAGTCATCTGCACCCCCCTCAGACTCCATCTTCACATTAGTCTCATCTTTCTTCACGGAGCTGCTGCTCTGCTCCTCTTCTGACTTATCATTCTTCATCTCTACTGGGGATGAGAAGGACAAGTCTGTCTAGGGGCAGTTATGTCCACAGGATGTAGACAATCCCCACTAAGGATCACAGAACTGCAGCACAAATCTAAATCCTCCCACACAAATGCCTTTCCCAATTCACACTTCCCAAGTTTTATATTAAATTAGTTTACATTCCACTATTCAAACACATACTTTCAACTGCCTTATGTAACTAGTCCAACTGTATATCCAACAAGCAGAAAACCCATTTACCTGCTTGTTTGCTCTGTTCCTTTTCAATTTTTTCCAGGTTTTCCAGGAGAGAATCCACTTTTTGTTTTATCTGGGTCAGTTCCTTCTTAATGGCCTGAAGGTCATCTCCTTTCACTTTAATATAAATAAAATCCTGGATTAAAATCAAATGTACTAGAAGATATGAATTAGCAAATACATTCACACTAGACTATACCAGGGGCTCACAGAAGTTCCCCAGGGAGAGACAGAGCCACTAAAGATTTCCCAGCAATGAAGGGCCTTGATTTTAAGTTTGCCAGAAACCTTGACTCTATTATAAAGTACTTTCTGTAATGGTTGTTTTGTTCTTAATGACTTTTAGATCTGGGCTCTCATTATGTTGCCCAGGTCTGAGTGCAGTGACCATGCACAGATAATGATCACAGTGCACTACAGTCTCAAACATTAGGCCTCATGCAATCCTCCCACCACAGCCTAGATCCCGGCGGTCTTAGCCTCCTCTGAAGCATCTGATACAGACATGCGCCACTGCATCAGACCTTCTGTAATGTTTTATTGCCTTCTGTATTTCCAGTTACAGGAGGAGTTTGGCCACAGAATCACAATCCTGTCTCTTCCATCACTTTGGATTAATTTTTTCTGAGATGGAGTTTGGCTCTTGTCCCCTGGGCTGGAGTGCAATGCCATGATCTTGGCTCACTGCAACCTCTGCCTCACTGGTTCAAGCGATCCTCCTGCCTCAGTCTCCCAAGTAGCTGGGATTATACGCATGCACCACCACACCCAGCCAAATTTTTTTTGGATTTTCAGTAGAGACAGGGTTTCGCCACATTGGGCCAGGCTGGTCTCAAACTCCTGACCTCAGGTGATCTGCCCTATTTACAAGCGTTGAGCCACCATACCCAACGTCTTCCATCATTTTGAATACATAAAGTCATGTAGCACAAAAATACTAGAACTGCATTGGCTTCCCTATTTCAAAACACATGAGATATCAAAATCACAAAACTGAAATAATACATACACTTTCCAGACTTGGAAGATCCCCGCTGTCCACTCTTAGAATTGAAGCCACTTTTGCCCCTTCGTGAGGTGTTTCCTGATACACGCTGACGTTTCGAGGGCACTACAGCCCGAGCAATAGGAGGAGGAGGAGGTACACGTGCTGGGTAACTGTACATCCTATTGGACAAAAGGAAAATAAAGTTCATTCAAACTTAACATTAACTCAGTACAATTCAACACACCTTATGATACATAATATCCATTGTCTCTCAGTTGTTTCATTTTACTAAATTTCATTGAGAAGGCCAGCAAAAAACTCCATGACTTGATAAAATAGTTAATACTGCAGCAATGTTTCCTTAAGAAACAATACATATATCAAATTATATGGTTGGCTGGCCTTTAGCACTGGATATAAATAGTTCCTCTGTACCAGTGGCAGTATTAACAGGGCATTTTTAAAATAATGACCAGCCTTTGTTTTATGTTATTCTTTTCCTACATACAAGACAATAAATAATTCACATAAGGTCAAATACTCTTAAAAAGATTCCAATTAACTGGTTATATAAACAGAGGTATTTAGCATTAACCAAATCCCTCATCTTTTCACCCACAGAAGCACACAAATTATTAAACCTAGTGATACAAAATTAAACCATGTAAAAAATGCGAGTATGGATCATTTCTGACCTATAAAAATAGGGCAATTTAATGAACCTGAGCAAATCATAGCAAAATGTGTCGGCCAGGTATAAATACCACTGATATAAAATATCTCATGTAAAAAACAGTATCATTTCTAACTAAATTTATGCTTAATTACAACAGGACAGAGACCACTGCCTATCTTGTTCACTATTCACCAGTATCTAAAATTCATCAGCCAGTACACACTACACACTTAGCACTCAAACACTGGTTGCTCAACTAAATGCTTGTTTCTGTTATAATTCTTAATTTCAAATATTTTATAATAATAAACTTACTGCCCCAGTGATTGATAAAGATACACCGAAGTGGTGGCTCACAGACTATTACATTTGTAAAGAGAAAATTCAAACCCGAACAAAATAGTTCTTACATGGACATCAGTTCTAGACTTTCTACATTCCACATTGTCATTTCTATCTAAGAGCCTACGGCAACATAAAAAAAGGTTTTTTAATTCTAGCCATACAAGAAATGCAACCAACTTAACACATAGGCCAAGGTACTCTATAAAAATAAACCTACCAACTGCTCTAACTCCAAAGATTTCTTAAAAAACAAATGTGATATAGTCAAGAACGTTAAAATTTTATGATTCGGCCAGGCGTGGTGGCTCACGCCTGTAATCCCAGCACTTTGGGAGGCCGAGGCGGGTGGATCACGAGGTCAAGAGATCGAGACCATCCTGGTCAACATGGTGAAACCCCGTCTCTACTAAAAATACAAAAAATTAGCTGGGCATGGTGGTGCGTGCCTGTAATCCCAGCTACTCAGGAGGCTGAGGCAGGAGAATTGCCTGAACCCGGGAGGCGGAGGTTGCGGTGAGCCGAGATCGCGCCATTGCACTCCAGCCTGGGTAACATGAGTGAAACTCCGTCTCAAAAAATAAAATAAATAAATAAATAAATAAATTATGATTCTCCCACTTATTTATCTACATACAACGGTGGTGAGTTTTTGGAGTTATATAATGTCTCCAATCTTCCTATAGTGAAAACATTTACAACATCTCGTTGCTAATTCTCTCCCCTATCAACCTGAAGTGTTTCCATACTATTTTAACAAAGTAATACTTAATCTCCTCTTGGGAGAGCCTATGAACAGTAACATTTTCCTAAGTAGGGAGGCAAGGAGAGTGGAGGTGGAAAGACTGGTCGCTGTGACTGCACCACAGCACTGGAACCTGGGGAAAGAGCAACACGGTCTCAAAAAAGATTAAGTGTTAACTATATAGTTAATCTGTTAGTTTAATCCATTCATGGAAATAAACACAAAGAAAAAGATACTGAGTAACTTTTTATTATCACTACTACCTTCACATTTTGACATAAAGCTTTTGGTCTTTTTGACCAAAATCTTCAAAGTACAATGATACAGAAACTATAAACTATCTGTGTTTAGAAACCACATCTTTTGTGCAAGATAACGCTTGCACAAAACCAAACTACATAAAGACAATTTCTGTAGGTAAATCAAAATGATTTATTGATATCCATGAGCATTAAACTGAGCTTAAGCCCCAGTCCACTTGGATATAAATACCTAATCTAATGCCTAAGCCACTAACGCTCACTGGCACCCATATCTAAACCAACGAGCTAGCTAGCTAGGTAGTTCCATACTGTCACTGGAATTTCCTTTTAAAATATATTATTTCAACTGATCATAACCAAAATAAAGCAAGTAATATGGTTTTGTTTTAAATCTATAACAGAACCATTAACAGTTAGGAGTCAAATTATTTACTTTTCTGAAGAAAAATATTTTCAAAATATTTCAGCAGGTAGGATTGAAGGGCTTTTAGTTATACAAAATGCTGCTCAGGCAGAAATGGACTCTCTCACATCTGAGGAAACAGTCCTTGCTTCAAAAAATGTTGAAGAGGATGACTGTGAAAACAGTATAAAAAAAAGTGTAATAACTTTGAAGATAAAAGGGATACATATTAAGCTCAGTATGACTGCTTCAAGCAGCAGCTAAAAAGTAGCAATTCTCAGTATGAGAAAGCTATACAATAAATCATAAGTCAATAATAGGTGATAATTCCTTGCTGATTAAGCATAAAGTCTTTTACCAGAGTAAGGAGGACTAAACTCTAGAATTATAACTGCACCCAAAATCAGACTGGACTGTAAGTGTTGGTATAAAATTTGGTAAGATTAAAAGTAATTACCACTTGAAATAAAACATTCTAGAGACATCAATTACCTGAACAAATTAAGACAAAACACACCAGCCAGGCACGGTGGCTCATAAGGTTGAGTTTGAGACCACCCTGATCAACATGGTGAAACCCGATTTCTACTAAAAATACAAAAACTAGCTTGGGTGTGCTGGCACCCACCCGTAATCCCAGCTACTCAGGAGGCTGAGGCAGGAAATTGCTTGAACCCGGGAGGCAGAGACTGCAGTGACGCAAGACTGTGCCACACTGCATTCCAGCCTTGGCAATAGAGCGAGAGTGAGACTCCACCCCACTCCCCCAAAAGATAAAACATGCCAGCTGGATGCAGAAGCAGGTCTGTGATGCCAGCATCAGGGGAGGCTGAGACAGGTGGATCATTTGAGGTCAGCAGTTCGAGACCAGCGTGCCCAGCATGGTGAAACCCCACCTCTACTAAAAAAAAATTTAATGGGTGTAGTGGCATACACCTGCAATCCCAGCAACTTAGGAGGCTGTGGCACTAGAGTTGCTTGAACTTAAGAGGCAGAGGTTGCAGCGTGCCATTGCACTCCAGCCTGAGCGACAGAATAAAACTTAGTCTCTCAAAAAATAATAAAAAAGACAAAAATGTCTACCACAATCTCCAAAGTAAAAACATTACAAGACACTTAATAAAGGCAAGTTTTCAAAGGTAGCTACTTAAATGAATATTCTGACCATAAGACATTAGATGTTAACATAGTGCCATTTCCTGGGTCTCAATAAACTTAATACATGTCAATACTATGCAAGAGTAGAAAAACACTAAAAGTTAACCTATTAATGAAGCTGTCATCTGGTAAATGAACATACTTAATAATTCTTGTCTTTAAAATGTGAACAGATTGAAATAATCTGTTTTGCCTAACTAGGTGGCTCACGCCTGTAATCCCTGCACTTTGGGAGGATAAGCTGAGAAGCTTTGAGGCCAGGAGTTGGAGACCAGTTGGACCAACATGTGAAACTGCGTCTCTACTAAAAAGACAAAAAAAAATTAGCCAGGTGTGGTGGCCCATGCCTGTAATCCAAGCCATTGAGGAGGCTGAGGGACGAGAATCACTTGAACCCCAGAGGCGGAGGTCACAATGAGCCAAGATCATACCACTGCACTCCAGCCTGGTTAACAGGGCTAGGCTCCATCTCGAAACAAAAATTAAGAGGGCCAAAGTAGTTTTTCCCATTCTAGCTCCAGTAAGTACTAAATGAACTAACAATTGATGAGAGCCATCTACCTCAAACCCTTATGTAATTTTTAAAAACTGATAGAAAAAAGTTTTAAGTTTACATTAAAATTTAGATATAGGCTGGGCATGGTGGCTGAACACCTGTAATCCCAGCACTTTGGAGGCTAAGGCAGAAGGATCATGAGGCCAGGAGTTCAAGATAAGCCTGATCAACACGATGAAACCCCGTCTCCACTAAAAACATAAAAATTAGCTGGGCAAGGCCGGGCGCGGTGGCTCACGCTTGTAATCTCAGCACTTTGGGAGGCCGAGGCGGGTGGATCACGAGGTCAAGAGATCGAGACCATCCTGGTCAACATGGTAAAACCCCGTCTCTACTAAAAAAAAAAATACAAAAAATTAGCTGGGCATGGTGGCGCGTGCCTGTAATCCCAGCTACTCAGGAGGCTGAGGCGGGAGAATTGCCTGAACCCGGGAGACGGAGGTTGCGGTGAGCCGAGATCGCGCCATTGCACTCCAGCCTGGGTAACAAGAGCGAAACTCCGTCTCCAAAAAAAAAAATTAGCTGGGCAGAGTGGCATGCGCCTGTAATCCCAGCTACTCTGGAAGCTGAGGCAGGAGAATAGATTGAACTCAGGAGGCAGAGGTTGCAGCGAGCCAAGGTTGTATCAACTAGGCCGGGTGCTGGCTCATACCTATAATCCCAGCACTTTGGGAGGCTGAGGCGGGCTGATCACGAGGTCATGAGATCAAGATCACCCTGAACAACATGGTGAAACCTCGTCTCTACTAAAAATACAAAACTTAGCCAGGTGTGCTGGCGTGCGCCTGTAATCCCAGCTACTCAAGAGGCTGAGGCAGGAGAATTGCTTAAATCCCAGGAGGCAGATGTTGCAGTGAGCCGAGATTGCGCCACTGCACTCCAGCCTGAGACTGAGTGAGACTCTGTCTCAAAAAAATAAAAATAAAAATAGATCACCAGCGAAGTTTTTGTAGCTTATGTTTTATTTCTAAACTGAAAGAGATGATTTCTAATGTTATTTGCCAAGTACTTCACCACAAACATGCTGTCTTAGCAA